ATTCCGCGGAAATTGTTTCCGACTTCTCCTGGAAAGTAATTTTTCCGTACTTAGCCCACAAGTTTTAATTTTCGTATTCAAAAACGGCAAAAATATAAAATTAATTAATATATACTAGAAATACTCAGAGGGAGAGATAGGCGGAGAAAACAAAATACAATTGGGCAGCAGGGATTTGTACCTAAATTATCTTGCAACCCTTGCTAGAAGCGAAGACAACAAATCAAGAAGACTGGCAACTTTGCCAGAATCCAAGCGACAGATAACTGTAGCGCTGCACTTGAGTGAAGGTGGAAGCAACGCATAGAAAAATGAGCAAATACACAAACCCTTCTTCTGAGGTTGTAATCTTTGCTATCAAATTCGTTCGAAGCATTTACCTTTGAGCGGTAGATGACGCGATTGTACCTGTCTCATAGCGTTTGTATGAGAAAATGGAAGAGTTGCCAGCCTTCTTGATTTGTTGTCTTCGCTAGAAGCCAGCATTTCACATGACTTTTATTGTTGATTCAGTTTACGTGCAAAATAATAGTTGATTGCATCGCAATATTTTGCACATTTCTTGGTGCCATTATTTAACCAACGAAGATCAATTAATCAATAGAGTTAGAATATTGTTTTTGATTTCGAAAACTAGTTGAATTTGAGAAGCACACGAAACATAAAGGTGATTGAATTTCTGTTCGATTGCAATACTCTTAAATTTAATGTAATAAGAATAATAAATATTCGGACAAAATCGAATGGGAATGTTCGATTGGCTAAAAACATTCTCCATCTGAGTATTTCTAGTAAATACCGATAAATACCGATTTTTTTTTTAAACTTTTGATACTGATAAGTTAGAAAACAATATGGCAACGCTGCTGTCAAAGCCAGAGCCAATCGAGCAGCGCCTATCTTGATTGCATTGGCAGTGTTGCTAGAAACCAAAAAAAAAGGCAGTTTGTTTCCAATCCGCTACTCTCTTATACTAGACCCTCTCTAATTCGAACTATCGGTCAGATCTGTCGAACGAGGTGAGACACAAATCTAGGCATTATAAATTCTCCGTGTGTTCGTGTCCTTGCTCACCGTGAGGACGGCTTCAGATGTTTCAAAAAAACGTTTGGATACTGGGGCAAATGCGTTGTCTACTATTTTTTGGTTCTGAGATTCCAAATATTTGGTAATTGTCATTATTAGGCATTTAAAATAAGCATGAATGAATGTCTTCACGGGGGAAGGTGGTTCTAAATTCTCTATAAAACGATTTGCGTAGTTTATGGGACCTGAGGGCAAGACAGCTATACTCAGAGTAAATATATTTGCAGCAAGTAAATTTGAGTTACTCACATTTACTCAAAAATTAACAAAGTAGTCTCGATTTTCTAATCAAAGAAAATATCGTCTGACAGCATATTTCAAGACCAACAATTGAAATAGCCTTAACTCCATTTTGTAAACAAACCTTGTAAGGCCATTTTCTCGCGAACCGAAACCTAAACCACAATCGGGTAGAGGAGAATTTCTCCTACCTGTTCATTATGTTGGTTTGCTTTTGTGGACTTCGGTTCGCGAGAAAATGGCTTTACAAGGTTTATTTTACAAAATGGAGTTAAGGCCATTTCAATTGTTGGTCTTGATTTGGTTTTCAACACGAGTTTAAAACGATAAACAGGAATGATATAATCGTTAGGTTTTGTTGTAATGATCCACAAGATTCCATATTTCACACAAATTAGACGCTGTTGATTGTGGTATATTATGTAGCTGCTCATTTCAGGCCAGATTAGGTCAGCTCTGGCCAGCTTCGTGGAGCTTGTTAACATTGAAAATCATGCCATGGCCAGCAACTAAATACAGTGCCGTCACCATCTGTTTATTGCCTCAATTTTTCGCCCATGTTTTCTGTATAATATTTCATGAAATATCCAGCGTCTAATTCCTAAAGAATGGTTGAGTAACATCATAAACCGAATAGAGTATTCTATGAATTTATAGATTGCATAATAGACAAAAATTATATGTTGCCAAAAATGGGAAGGCACTGTATTCTGATGTTGTAGAAAAACACACAGGAATGTATTCTATTATATTGATATAAATTACGTTTTCACTGAGTTTCTGGATGTATAAAAATATAAATGCGAACTACATTGCTACACAGAATGAATTTATTGAATTATTTTAGCTAAATTCGAACCTATCGAACCGCACTATAAGTTCCTTCACAGAAATTCCAATTAAAGGGTGATACGGTCAAAATTTGGTCAATATCAACTTGACGTATTTCTTTCAATTTTGCATTTAAAAAACCTGAACACCCCTCATTTTGAAGGTGTGTGTGTGTAGAATGTTGCTCCTATTTTGATTTTGGAATTCACTCTTCAGTTGTCAAAATGCCGTCCAAGCAAGAAGAGCAGCGTATCAAAATTTTGCTCGCGCATCGCGAAAATCCGAGCTACTCGCACGCAAAGTTGGCAATCGCTAAAAGTTGCCAAATCAACCGTTACAAATGTAATTAAAGTGTTTGGGGAACGTTTGTCGACAGCCAGGAAGTCTGGATCGGGGGGAAATCGAAAACCGGAAGCCGCTGAGACGACAAAAAGAGTTGCCGGTAGTTTCAAGCGAAACCCTAACCTCTCTCTCCGAGATGCCGCAAATAAGCTGGGTGTATCGTCTACAACCGTGCATCGAGCCAAAAAACGAGCCGGACTATCGACTTACAAGAAGGTAGTGACTCCAAATCGCGATGAAAAACAAAATACGACGGCCAAAGCGCGATCCCGGAGGCTGTACACGACGATGCTGACGAAGTTTGACTGCGTGGTAATGGACGACGAAACCTACGTCAAAGCCGACTACAAGCAGCTTCCGGGACAGGAGTTTTATACGGCAAAAGGAAGGGGAAAGGTAGCAGATGTTTTCAAGCACATGAAACTGTCAAAGTTCGCAAAGAAATATCTGGTTTGGCAAGCCATCTGTACCTGTGGCTTGAAAAGCAGCATTTTCATAGCTTCCGGGACTGTCAACCAAGAAATTTACGTGAAAGAGTGTTTGAATAAACGTCTGCTGCCTTTCCTGAAGAAACACGGTTGTTCCGTACTGTTTTGGCCGGATTTGGCATCTTGCCATTACGGTAAAAAGGTCATGGAGTTGTACGCCGCCAACAACGTGCAGGTGGTTCCCAAGGACAAGAACCCTCCCAACACGCCAGAGCTCCGCCCAATTGAGAAATACTGGGCTATTGTCAAGCGGAACCTAAAGAAGACCAAAAAACTGCTAAGGGCGAGCAGCAGTTCAAGGCAAACTGGCTTTCTGCGGCGAAGAAGGTGGACAAGGTGGCTGTACAAAATCTGATGGCAGGGATCAAGCGTAAGGCCCGGAAATTCGGATTTGGAAAAGCGGAAGCCTAACTGAATATTTTTCCTGAATTTTATACTAATTGAACTTGAAAAAGAAATTTAATTTGATTTTTTAAATAAACGATTTCACCGATTTACACGCGTTTTCCCTTGACCAAATTTTGACCGATCACCCTTTATCAACTTTCTATTGAATCTTTCGCTTTAAAGCTTCATATCGTACATAACTATTTATGAGGTGATAATTGAATAAGGCTAAAACATCAAACATTTATTTGATACGCCATCTCTTAGGTCACTTTTTAGTCACTATTTTTACAACTATAAGTCACTATTTGGTCACTTATTTGTTCAACATGGTCACTAAAGTCACTATTTCTGACAGCAGTGATTGCTACCAGCCCTGCTCAGCTCTGGTACTCTCTTCGGTTCCAAGCTAACCGATGCACCCCTCGAAACATAGGAAAATCCACGAAACCCTCATTTTATCTGTCAAACTTTGATAGCGAATTATAACAAACAGAATTTCGCCTAGAATGGGGTACGTTAGTCGATTTGCTTGGGACCAATAGGCTGGCCAAGTAGTGAGATAATTTAAAATCGTTAGTTTCCACCGGTTGATAATACCGCGATTCAGATTGGCTTCGTTACCTCCGGTGTGGTTGCCTTCACAATTCTGTTGGCAGCATCTTCCTTAATATTGCTATTGCCGTCGGTGATACAAACAGTTGCGAAAGAGCGTAGAGAAGCGGCAAACTGGTAATACGGGATCCACTGACTCCACCGGCCTCCACATTCAATTGAATCCGAGTCCAGTCCATAGAATGAGCTTTCGGCTGACTGATTGGAGTCATCAATCATATCGAGTGGTTCTGCGGGAGAAACAGCTGCGATTGCAGATACATCTAAAGAATGATAGGATTCTTCGCCACCGGGCTGTTGTTGACACCCATATTAGCGCTGCAATGCTAATACCCATACAATTGACTCTCGGTCCGGATCCTATGACAATCGAGTTAATACGTATTCTGGCCTATTTTGCGGGGCGTGGTGACTCTGACCAATTCATTTGGATTACCCTGAAACTATGAACATCTCTAAAAAGCCATGCGGACTTTTTGTGGAGGTTCATCTCCATGAAGGCATAAGGTCAAAGAGAGTCTCGTCAATGATTTAGGACAATTTCGCTGGAAAATCAAACTGACAAAAAATTCCCTTGCTTGAAGTAAACAAAACAGTGATGCCGTTTTAAATTATATTTTGTGTCATACTTGCCATGTGTCATGACGTGGCGATGTGTTTCAGCACAGTGTACAGAGTTAAATAAATCATTATAACTGTTCAAAACATCCCAAATAAGACATTGGGTTTTTGCGATAAAGCCTAAACTACAGTTTCATGAGTGCAAACCCCTTCACTTTTCGAGCCATTTCAATTCAACTGCAACGCGTGCACCAGAAATCCCATCCCCATCCCTTCATGAACATTCTCACCCCAATCACCGATGGGTCAGCCCACCAGATAATCCCGTTGATTTATGTTGTCCTGTCCGGGTGCCGTCCACGGCTGTTGCTGCCCATTGCTACCATTACTAACATTCTCCACATTTTTTTTTTATTTCACTATCCCTCTACTTTCTCCTCTTCATTGCAGAACGGTTAAATTCCGTTCCAATCCAGCAGCAGGTGGCGGCAGCAGCAGCAGCAGCAGCGGATTGAAACGTGTTGCCACCGAGGAAATCATCGAAGAGATCAAGCAGGAACCGGGTCAAGAAGGGGCCGCAACCGGCAGCGAATCAACAGCTCCGACCTCATCCTCCTCCATTCTGACGACAACGACGACGACGACGACGTTGGCGACGTCGGCTAGCATTGGAGCAAAGGTGAAAAGGTTGGACACCAACAACAGCTACAGCATCGGGGTGAGGAAAAGTTCACTGAGCAATTTGGTAGTCAAGAAGAAACAACCGACCCCTGCTGTTGCTGTTGCTGCTACTGCCACTTCTGGTGAGTCAAAGTCGGTTGAGACAAAAACCACGACGGCAACTAGTTGTGTTTCCTCGAGTGCGGCCACACCGTCGGGTGCCGTCGTCAGCGGTAGTGCTTCTGCTGGTCCCGTGGTCAGTGGTTTAGGTCTCCTGGGGGCTTACTCCGACAGTGAAAATTCGTCCGATGGAAATGAGTGAATGCAATCGATTTAGGTAAGACTATGATCGTTTAAGTTGAAGTTTGATTATAGAGCTACTTACTGGTTGGAATTCGCAACGTTTAAATTTTTGTTCGTATCACATTCCCTATGCGGTGAAAAAAAAAAAGTATATCACTTCAGTTTTAAGATCTAACGTGCATCGTATGGAAAAGTTAATCTCAGCAATTTGCGATAGCAACGCTTGAAAATTTATATTGGTTATAGTACTCAAGCTCAAGAATGGAATACTTTTTCGTCGGTTCGGTAGGTACCATATATTGAATTCATAAAACTTTCTCATTCCATAGAATGGGGGGAAACGTGACATAGCCCCGACTTAATTCTGTCTCTATCAATTTTAGCAAGATTCCCCTTCGTTGGGGTAAAGGGAGGGAATAGGAGGATGGTGGACCGGTATCCGTTTCCCTCGCGAGTATAAGTGAAAAGTTGGAAAATCTCGTTTCAATATACCTATATAGCTACTCAGCAGCGACTTGAAAGTCTGAGGATGTGTGTCTTTGAATAGCGAAGGGTAAGCACACATATTGCACGCGTGTACTCTTTGGAGGATGAATTTAGCGTGAAAAAAAAAACAAACTTTTGCACTTTTCTTGTGGCGAAGGTGAAACAAGTTCCAAACCCAAGTGTCGTATGAACTGAGGCGTAAGTGAGGATGGAACGTGCTATTGTGCTAAAAAATAGAAAAAAAAGTTGGAAAGTCTTTGGTTTTTTTAGGTGATCTCATACGAAGTTTTCTCTTGCAAAATATTAATATTTACATTTCAGTGGGGTTGAAGGAAAGGAGTGTGAGTGGCACACTTCAAAAATAAAATAAGAAAATGGCAGTTACCGATAGTTTGAGCGTAATTTTATAAACGCCATTCGCATTGATAATGAGGGTTTCCCCTATATGTAGTTGCTATATTCATTAGACTGATGCAAAAGTTGAAATTTCCCTGGGCTTTGGCAAAACCTTGAGGTAGTTTAATTAGGCTACCAGGTCCCAGGGCTGATCTGGATCTTTACCACATTGGAAAGATGCACACTAGTGTTGCCAGATCAGTATTGATGCTTACCAAAAGTGCATTTGAACCCGCTTATAAAAGCATATTAACAGATTAATCATCATCGTACATTGTTTATTGCTCTGTACTAATAATAAATGATTAAGCACAGCGTTTGATATTTTAGTAGGAATGCTGAATTTAGTCGCAGTAGAAATCAATCCTTTATTGAATTGGATTTATTTCTATGGATATGCACGTTTGGAAAGTATCATCACAAAGATTCTGCACTCGGTCTACAGCTTATGGGCGGGAAGCGTTGTTTTTTTTTTTGTTTTTTTTTTTATCTATTTATAGAGTCAATTCTTAGAAATACGAAGCGAAAGACAAATCAAGCATTAAGCACAAGACCTTCAAGAAAACTAACAACACGAAGTCTCGAAATGGCAATGTTTTATTCAAAATGTCAAATATTTCAAGAATATCGGGTGAGTCCAATCGGACTGAGCGCTATTTCGGTCATCTGGAAGGGTTGTGCACGAGGAGCGATTTAAATCCCCCCAGTTTTGAAGACATTCCGGAGCGAGGATCCATTATCCAGAAACACAATACAACAAGAGAAGGAAGTAGTATTGAAGGTAAACAAGGAGTACATGGGAACGTCGAAAACTGTAAGTATACTCCGATCTATTCTAGTACTCTTGTATAAAACCTATTGTAAACCGGCTAGATCGTAGTCGTCGTCACCGGGAAGCACAGTCATGTGAAGATTGCCAGATCCGTGACCACTCATGATAAGGCACACAAGGCTCTCAACATTAACACCCCTATTCTGTATTTCGTTTCGAACGAAATTCTCATACAAAAAAATATTTTTTTGTATGAGAATTTCGTTCGAAACGAAATACAGAATAGGGGTGTAAATACATTGCACGGGTTGGGTCGCACAGAGGGTTGATTAGATGTAAATTGCTTTGAAACACCCGCATAAACGATAACCATAAGGAGTGCCTAACAACCTATTCGGGTTATCATCCCAACAATATGTGGTACGGTGGCACGATTTGTGGTATCGTTCATGTATGGTGCTCCCCCACCCTTTATTAGGGTCGCTGACGCTCATTGCACGCTCTTTCGTTCTCCGGCTGATTGAATGGATGACGGAGTTTGACGTCACACTTCTTCAGACGTTTAGGCGACGGGAGGGCGAGAGGGATGGTTGTTCAGTACACGGAGACAATTTTACAAATGTATTTCTAATAGGTAAATCACAGTTTAAAACTCACTAATAATCTCTTTCAATCTCTTTTAATTTCTTTTTCATTGACGGTGTGATGTAATCGATGCGCTCTGTGACGAGAGCGCAAACCAAACGAGGCCATTTTTCAACGATACGATAATAACTTATGCGCTTTTCACACAAAACCTACCCAACCCTTTCCTTTCTACAATCCCTGAGCAGCTGGTTTACCATAAGTATACCTCGCAGAACTTTTTTAACCCCCATGGGTAAAGATGCTGTGTTGCTCACTCCTCTCCCCTTCCCTGGTGTATTATGGATGGTGTGAATATTCACATCGGTGACATGGCCCCTGACCCCCTTGTACATCATAAAATGAAAATGAAAATGAAAAAATGACTGATGCAAAAGTTGAAATTTTCGCTCCACAGTGCTCAATCCGTTCCAAATCGGGTCCTGATTAACCTTCCAAATTTTAAACTCAATTGGTAAGAAACTGACTTGGCTTAAACCATTTGAAGTTTATATGGAAATTACTAAGGGAAAGTCAAACTTTTTGTTCATTGTCTTTTTGCCTTTTGCCATATTGCACTGTTAAAAGGTTCAATAGCTATTCTTATGAGAAATTTTCTAGTTCGCTGTAATAGAATTTTCTTAGAAGCTTGTGCCATCATCCATCAGATGGGATAGTATTTTTGTTTTGGTTTTGCACAAAGGTGATTTTGTGTACAATGATTCTTTGACAGTGTGCAAAGAGTGTATCATTTTGTCATTTTTTTATGCATTCCAGTTTTGAGTAGAGTGAAAGAGATAGAACCAAAACATTCTAGTACATTTGGTGAAAATGCTAGTTCAATCCAGTAGTAGTGTTCCAATGTGGTACAATCCAGTAGTAGTGGTGCTGCCATGTGGTACACTGAAAAATTGCAATAGCAGGTTAGTCACCAAAGTTTTCGAGCCGCTCCGTCTGTCACTTCGTTTGTGCTATAACATTGTATTTTTGCCGTTTTTGAAAGCAAATTTTTTATCAATGGTGACGACTGGGACTTGAGGGGAATTGCTTTGTTAAATGGCTTTCTCATTATTAAAACACTTTATTTGTTTAATTTAATTTTTAAAATTATCGTTGTCCTTAAATGGTGACCGAAATTGTGACCAAGTAGTTTTTTTTTCAATTAACTATCATTAAATGAAACCAAAATATGGTAAATCAGCGACAAGACTTTAAGACTGACTGACTTTAAGATTTTAAGACTGAGAAAGCCGTTAATCAAAGCAAAAATTTTGCTTTGAACTTTGATCGGAAAATTCCGGAAGAAAACTTCGGGGAATGTTTGAATTAGCTTCTGAACATCCGAAAATTGCAGTCCTGGATGAAGTTTTGTAAATTGGAAGTAAATTTCCAGAAGTAGACATTTCCAGGGAAAGCCAGAAGAAGCTCGCAAAAAGCTTCCAATAGAAGTTGAACATTTGCCTTATGGTCAAACTTTCAGAAGAAGACGAAAGAAATTTCTAAAAAAATTAATTGAACTTCCTGGAGAAGACGAAAGAAACTTCCTGGAGACGCTGATAGAAACTTCCTACGGTAGATTGGAAGAAACATCTGAAGAAAGTCGGAAGCCAGAGCGCTTACGGAACAGTCGAAAGAAACAACGACATAATTCCGGAAGAAAGAGATTCCTGGGGGATGTTCAAATGATCCAGAAAATTTTCCTGATAATCATAAAACATCCCTGAAGACTCCCAAATTTCCCTGAAGTTTTCGGAACATTCCTGAAATGTAGGTACTTATGAATATTCCATAATTCCTCGAAACTCCTTAATAGTTCTTGTAATTTTTCTGAAATTATGGGCTGTTTTGGAGTTCTCTGGTCATCCTCGAAGCGCTCGGAACTTCCCTGATTACAACGAGGATTACAATAAGACTACCGGAATGTCTCTAATCATCTTTGAAGGTCTCTAGATTTTCTTGAAGATTACGAAATCTCTTAAGTGCTTTCACAATTTTCTTGAATTTATTGTAACATCAGAATTGAAGTTCTCTCATCTTCCAGATTTTTTTAAATTTTTAAACGTTATCGACAGTGCCATTAAAAAGCATAGAACTTCCCATAAAATATTCTCATAATAATCTAATGTTCATGTAACTTTCCTTACGTTTCCTAAACTTGCATGAGCCCCTCAGGACATTGTTGAAGTTACCGAAAATTTCTTGAGTTTCTCAGAACTCAGTTCGCTGGACTTTTCTGAAATTTCCGGTTTTTTTAATGTTAACAGAAGTTAATGAAACTGTCTTTAATGTATCGAAACTTACACAAAAGTCTGGACTTTTCTGAAGTTTCAGAACTTCTTAGATGTTCCTGCAGCTAGTGTGGATCCGCAATAAAAATCTGATAGCATCCTTGAAGTGCCGGGAAAGTTGAAAAACTGGCGGGAGAAGATGAAAGAATCATTCGAGCGAAGGCTGAAGGAGCTTCCAAGGTAAGGTGGGAAAAAATTCCAGGAAAAGTTGGATGAAACTTCAGAAAGTTTAAAAGTGAATAAAAACTTCCGGAAGTTAAATAATGTCAACAAGTCTCTCACAAAATTTAACTGCAAAAATCGAGCGCGGCAGGCAATAATAATTTTCATAATTTAAAAAAAAAATCGGTATAAATCGGTATAATATCTCAAAAATCGGTATTCTGATGAACCTTATCTGTATATCGGTATCTAGTTCGGAAATCGGTATAAATACTGATAAATCGGTATATCTGGCAACGCTGATAG